TTGACTAAACTTCTGACTTCACCACCATTCCCCTGCGTTGCCAGCCTGAAGAAGTGGCCCAGCAGGTTCTTGAGTCACATGCCAAAATGCCTCCTTCATCCTCCCTGGAACTGGAAATGATTACTAACAGGTATTCTTGCTGAAACAATTTAACATAATGTGCTGAGTGAGATCACTAAGTCAAAATATCTTTCACTATGTGACACACTCCCTGCGTGCCTGAATGCCAGAGGGGAAGGAGGACAGCATGAACCACATTCTTTTGCTGGCTTCTGCATTTTACAACAGCTCTAAGTTACCAAAGAATTCACATTAGAAAGGTTCACCCTGCCTTATTACAAGAGGTCCGTGATGCAGGTCTGGCAGACAGCCAGGGGATGGAGACACAGGGGTTTGGGTTAACCTCTCTCATTTGCTCTGCGCCCTTTTACAGAATTTTCAGCGCTCTCCAGCTGCTGCTGGGAACTGAAGACAGGTGAGGAAACGAGGTGGGCACGACAGCAAAGCTGGCGAGGGGCCGGGCGCGCTGCCCTGCATGCACAGCCTTGGATGTGCATCGCTGCTGCAGCTGCATCCCTCACAGCAGGCTGCAACCAGAGTCTGGGCAGGAGCAGGGGTCTGCACCACGCAGCACATCCCTGCGTGCCAGGGATGCTCCAAGTTTGCTGAGAGACCAGGCTGCCCTCACCCATCCGAGCCTCTCGGCCTCAAAATTAACTTGTTGAGGTCAGTACTCAGAGGTATTGCGGACTTCGGATTCCATCTTCCTTTCTGAGAAAGCCCCATGCTCCCCGGCCCAGCACGGCTATTACCTGCCAGCCTAAAGGATGATGAATGTTATTTATATTGCGGTAATGGCTAAGCACTCAGCGGAGACCAGGGACAGGCTGTGCTGGGGACTTTTCAAACACACGCTGAATGAGGACTGCCCGCAGATGGCCGAGTGTATGAAACTGCTGAGACATTTCAGGATAATGGTCTTGAACGCCTTGGACACGATGACCTCCAACAACTCGGCTGATGACTGCAACAACACAGGAGCTGTTCTACAGCAAAGACGTCCATTCGTACCAAATTCTCATCGGTTAGCGAGATGTGCCCTTACAACAGCAAAAAGCTCATCTACTTCAAAGCAGGCAACTCCTCGATAGGGAGGCCTTTAAGTTCCTTCATTAATAAATGTAAAAATATTCAACCAAACAGAAACACAACAGAAAACATAGAGGAATAAAGAGAAATTCTAATTAAAAGTTTAGCTAACAGTTAGCTGCTATAGTTTTGCTGTCCAAGAAATAACGTGAATCAACGAATGAGAAATACTCAAGATGTAGATAAGTAATGCAGCAGTAGTAAAGCATAGGGCCTGGCCCCATAAAAAAACCTGTAAGACCAATTTAACTCTGACATGTGGACACTTGCAGAATTAGTCTTCAAATAATTGCAGAAAAATGTTAGAACTGAAAAACTGTACCTTCAGCTTTCCACTGCAGTGAGCCCAGAGGGCGGACAGCTACCACTGCCTGGGAAATACCCTCCCAAGAAACAGCCCCTCAACGACACAGAGGAAACACATCTGAAATATTCAGTGGAGGGTTTTTTTCATTATTAATTCTCTCTCTGTATCTTAGAAAAACCACACTGTGTCTTGTTTCATATGCACTGAGGTACTGAAACCTGAAATATTAAGTGACATATTCCACTGAGAAATGCCTCCGAGAAGGTGCTGTGGAATAGGTGTCGGCCCCTTTTATCCCTGCTACAACGTACGTTCCAGTACCGAATTTCTAAATATATATCCAGAAACCAGCAGACATTAGCGTCCATCAGCAACCTTATTAAAAACCAAGTGCTAAAGACACACCTTACTTCAGGAATGCTCTTTACACTTAAAAGCTGCTTTAGATGAAACTACGTCAGAGCTCCATAGCCAAAAGCCTGAAGATACCAGAGCCCAGTCAACAGACCAGGCAAGGATCAACCCGACACGCTGTTTTTGGTCTTTTCACTCAGAGGAGTGGTCACCCCCACACCCAACGGGAGAAATAAGGCACATGGTAAGGGACTGCAAGTACCTTCTAGCTGTCTCAACTTGAGAAGTCTCCTAAGAGGACCGATGTCTCAACATCTGGGCATTCCTTTCACCGTCAAACACTCACGGAGCAGTGGGATTTGTCAGCAATCTGCTGAGCATATCCAGATGACAACTGCCGAGCCCGGAGAGCTCAGAGGCATTTACAGATAGGTAGGGGTTTGCGATAGACGTCTCGAACCAGAGTCGAGATCCACAGCCTGTGAAAATTACGCCCCACAGCTCTAAAGCCTTGAGCTGCGGTAGTCAAACCAGGCACCGCAACACGCAAAGTTTAGCCCGGGTGTGCTTTACAATTACACAAATTGTTTCAGGGAGGCTGAGCAGCCTCCATGTCACAGATTACAAGGAAAAGGCTGCCGGGAGGATTTTGAAAGGCGGTCTTTGCTGCCTAAACTACAACTCCATCCATCGCTCCAATATATGGGAATGAAGCGTCAGTTAGAAACACATTTTGGATTGTCCTAAGTACAAATTTCATGGACAGTGAATTTAAAGTTCTCTCTGGCACCTACATCTCACCTATCCCGTGTAGATTTTCAGCTTGTTGCCTCACCATGATCCACCTACTTGTCCTAAGTACAAATTTCATGGACGGTGAATTTAAAGCTCTCTCTGGCACCAACATGTCACCTATCCCATATAGATTTTCAGCCTGTTGTCTCACCGTGATCCATCTGTCTTCCTCAATCTTTTAAAGGATCTTCCTGACAAAGGGTTCTCTCTTGTTGGTACAACACAGTGAAGCATTACATCAAAAGATTTTTGCCTTACTGACACAATCTCCAAATTAATTCCAAAGTCAGTTCTATTTTCAACAATTTGTCCATTTTGTATTTCTCAGAATAGGTTTATCTGCTTATGACAGCATTCTGCTTAAGCCCCTCCTATCCTCCAATCCAGCCAGTGACAGAAACTTGCATCAAATTTTTATAGCATCAAACGTGTGGCTTGTTTTTTTTCCCCTGGCACCCTAAAAAAAATGAAATCTTTGTTCAGCTACAGTCTGCACAAAAGTGTACGTTAGCTCTGTGGTATTCAAGAATAGCTGGTTAGACTCTGAGGCTATACATCATCTGCTAAAAGATATGTTATCACATCTGTGTCTAAATATTTTTGCTTCCTATGTCTGCTAAAAGCAACACCTACAATTGCTATAACAGAAAATGACAAGCTAAAAATAATTTCTACCGATTTGTCACCCTTTTGCATTTAACAGCTCTAAACGTATAGTCTAGTTCATTAACAGTTTTGCCTGTTTGTATTTACATATAAAAAGGGAGAAATAAATGTGTTAAAGAAGAAAATGGAACTGTAAATATGACAAAAATAGAAACAGTTTGTGGGTTGGTGCAGCATCTAAACTCAACACAGTTGGAAAGGAAAGAAACCATAGAATCATTTAGGGTGGAAAAGCATCCAACCGTTAACCCAACACTAACCCATGTCCCTGCACCCCACATGAACACATCTCTTACACCCCCCCGGGATGGTGACTCCACCACCGCCCTGGGCAGCCCCTTCCAATCCTGACAGCCCTTTCGGCGGTAACTCTGAAGGTGCCTCGCTGAACTGCTTTTACCCACAGCAGCGTGTAGAGGGCCATCACATATTTTCATTTGACCTCCTTGCTCAGCAGCCTCATTGTAAGGTTTTACCCTTGTTCTCAGCTTCTACGCTCCATGGAACTGGTCAATAATGAACTTTTTTCCACCGCTTTGACTTACTTAAGTCATCAGAAAACTTTAGAACACTGCCATTTTTGCGAACGGGGAGTTGCCATCGTGGACAGATCACAAAGGAAAAAATACAAAAGCAAAGTTGTCATGATTTCTCCTCCAAGCAGATGGTACTGCAGTAGCACTGAACGAGTTTATATTAATTATTTTCCAAAAGAGGAGGAGATGACATGCTTGAGATAGAGGATCCTACCAAACCCACTAAGAACCATCCGTAAATGTAACAGCAGTGAGTTTTTTCATTAACTCATTGTGACAGCTGTCAAGCCGGGGAAAACTTCTTGTTAATGCCAGTACAATTGTCCATTTGAACAAACGCCAGTAATTTGGCCACACTGGACCAGCTTATGTCCCCAGCTCTGCCGTACAGCCTGCACACATGCATATACCACAACCACATGCACAGCTGCTCTTTAATTCTCATCTTTGGGGCTACAAAGTGATTTGCCCAGAGCCGGAGCAGAGCCCTGCTCGAAGCTGGCCAGAAGGCAACGTGTGATTGAGTTGAGAGGAGCCGCCGGTGTGCGGAAGGGGGAGGTTTGCCCCCCCAGGCTAGCAGCTGGGGTAGGACATGCTCCCTGCATGCCAGGCTGAGTTCACCCTTTCATCCTGTGCCCTCAAAATAAGAGAGCACAGCTACTGGTAGAGATGTCACCTCACCCTGTGCGGTGACAGACTGCATCACAGACTGGTTTGGGTGGGAAGGGACCTTAAAGCCCCCCCAGTCCCACCCCCTGCCATGGGCAGGGACACCTTCCACCAGCCCAGGTTGCTCCAAGCCTCATCCAGCCTGGCCTTGAAGACATCCAGGGATGGGGCATCCACAGCTTCTCTGGGCAACCTGTCCCAGTGCCTCCTCACCCTCTCCAGGAAGAATTCCTTCCTGATATCCAATCTAAATCCCCCCTCTTCCAATTTAAACCCGTTACCCCTTGTCCTGTCACTACAGGCCCTTGTACAAAGTCCCCCCCCAGCTTTCCTGTAGCCCCTTCAGGTCTTGGAATGCTGCTAAATACCAAAGATGTCAACTGCATCCTCCCTCGGGACTCTGTCTGACACAGAGCTCACGAGAAAATCCCAGGATAGGTCTTGGTGCTATCACAAGGTCTTTGCAACCAACAAAGATACAGAGACCCCCTTAACTACCTGCGCTCAAGGCAGGGCCTGGATCATTAAGGTGATTTTCGAACAGCAAAACCAACACTGAACAAGAAATAGAGGGTAGCCCTTACCTCCTCATAGACATCGTCATTCCGGCTGAAGTCCCCAGCCCTCCTTGGAAGCACGTGGACATGAACATGCTGAAAATGTGAAACCAAATAATGGTGATTATCAAGCTCCTGACTTTCCTTTCTGGATTGTCAGCATTATTCTCAACACATGCAAGTATCCACGCACAGGTTCCCACAGCATTATTTCAGAGGAAAATACATTAACCTGTCCCATAACTGTGCCCGAAGTCTTTGGGGAATATGAGATGAAAGACACAAGAGAGCAGCTCTGCACTATTATATGAGCTTTGGAGTGAAACACCTGGAAGTTTATGGGCTCTGTGGAATTATTCATCGTTGTCAGTCAGACGTATTTAGCCACAGCTTTGAAATGACAACGTGCCCAGAGCTGTGCGTTGCGACTTCACAACTGACGTGCCCAAGAAGGTGCCAGTGACATGCAGCAGGCGTGGGCAGAGGGCCAGCGCGGGGGGCAGCGCTGCACCGGCTGGGGGCAGAGGAGCGGACGGCACACGACGGAGAGCACCCGGCCGTCAGAAAGGTGATGGTGTACATCACCGGGACGTACAGCACGGCTAACGCAGTGTTGGTCGCAAAGGTAAAAAAACTTTAATGCTTTGCTGTGACCCCCGGGAGGCTGTAGCCCGAATATGGGGATGGAAACCCACAGGGATACAGGGTACATGCTGGGGCACACGCCTGCAGGGACACAGGCTCCAGTGCACACGCAGTTCCAAACCTGCACGGCACAAGGATTACGAGCCCAGTTTTGCAGAGCCTGAAGCATAAGTGTCACCCTCCTGATGGCAGGGCCAACGCACCGGGGGTAGCAGCGCTAAGGACTAAGCTGGGCAGCTTTGGGCTACTGGGTACAGGAGGGGCAATGGCTTTTTGTCACAAATGCTGATGACATATGCAGAAAAGGAAAAAAAAATATGGACAAGAGAGCAAATATATGACTTGCCAGCTTGATGTTGTGTTAGCACTATTACTGTATTTTTTTTTCTGTTACAAAATGACAGTCTCTTCATACCATACAGGAATGGTAATTCAAGATTCTCAGGACTCAAATTCTACTAGGGAATCAGACAAACACTCATCTATCTGCTTTTCTGCAGCAAGTTCAGCTACAACTTCACAAAGCATTCTTTCATCTTTTCCCCTTTCTCTTTCACCCTCTTTTGAGGTGAAAACCCCCCCCAAAAAACCAACTGAGAATAGTAACTCTTCAAGAAAAAAACCAGAACCTCATTGAGGAGAGGCAGAAATGATCTGAGTGACAGATCACACTTAACATCTCCAGTTCTTTCTAGGGGGTGCCTAAATCTTTTTGAAAAACACCAAAGACAGCATCAGAAAGAGCCCCAAACGCTTTGCGCAGAATTTCAGCAGCTTGCAGCTGACTCAATGTGACAAGGCAGAAATCAGCTGAAATTCAGGCACCTCATCAAAACATCCTCAAAACGTGGCTGAAGTCTATAATGAAATCCAAAATCAAAAGAAGATTTTCTTGAGCTGCTTGTAAGAAAATTCACACACACCTATGTTGCGTTAGCTTCAATCCATACAAACATTTGCTCAGTGAATAAAATAAAAGCACAAGGATGGTTCAGCTAATGAAACACACTCAACACCACTCTTTTTTTTCCCCACAGCTTACGCTAGGGAACCCAAATACTCATTTGCTTATTCTTACCATTACCCACAGCTTTCAGTGTATTCAGCCTAGAGATGAGAATGATTCTTGAGGGTTAAAAACTGTGTTTTTGAGTAATACATCAGTGATAGTGTTCTGATAGTGTATTACACTAATATATCATGACAGCGATAGTGCTCTTGTGATGTATTAGTGCAATGTATCATCTGAACATCACCGCTCTCATGATGTATTGCTCAAAATCACAAGGCAAGTTCAAAGATGGTCTTCAGTAGCCCTCGGCCTGAAATTTTGCTCTAGGACAAAGACAGACTTTCAAAAAAAAATTCAAGTGAAGATTAAAGTTTGCAGTGGTACTGTAAAATTTTACTCCTGTGTCACACCTGGGGTTCTTGTTAGATTTTAAATTTATTCATAAAAATAGAGAATAATCTGCCAGTCAACTTCTTTCTCTTCTGCTACAAGGAGTGATAGCTTTGCTTCAAGCATCAGTTTTCAGGAGTTTCACTTGATGATGCATATGCAGCCTAATATCAGCTACCAACAACCAAATGCCCCAGAAGTTCCGTCACCTTTAAGGGTAATCTTGATCTCGGTGGCGGAATGTTCCCAGGAGCCCACGGGAGAAGATCTGTATGCCCGCGACAGACAATGTGGACTATCAGAAAGCACGCAGGGATGTAACCCAAAGCTGAGCGCAGAGATGCTGCACTGCAGATGCACAGACCAGCACAGCAGGTAATAAATGAGCCCGATGTGACCTACCCAAAACGGGCTCTCGCCATTGGCGTGAAAAACAAGACGACAAAGCGTTTATGACAGCATATGGGCCACCTGGCATCAGGGGGGACATTCTCAGGGGTCAGTCACCTTTACTACATGCATTATGTTCTTACAACATCAGGCTGCATAGCAAAATCTCTCAACCATCAGAAACCGAATGAGTATTTCCAAGGTTTGAGGTAACTACAATCTTTCAAGAGAGTATTTTTTTTTTCCAGCCATGCCAATATTTTTTTTTAAATTCTGTGCATGGAACATAAATAAATACCTGGATTCTTCCTACTGTTTGTGTAATACAAAAGAACAGGATTGGAAATAGTGTCCCAAGGATTTTCCTTCTCTCCAGCTTTACCAAGGGAAGTACAAGCGGCGCAGAGCAGCGGCACCACATAGTGAGAAACACCGAGCAAGGGGATTTCACACTCTCTTCAATCTGCCTTTCAGCTTCCTGCCTTCCCGACTTGGGAAGGCTGATATTTTGATTCATTAGGAGTTCTTTAATTGATCATTTTTGCTCCTTAGTACTATTTGTTATTGCTAAAGCCTCAATCCACCAAGGCGCTTAAGCACCAGCTCGATTTCCAAGCTGTGAATTGGTTCAGTGGGAGTATTTGCATCCCGGATATTCTGTGTATGTCTCAGTGTTCTGCATCTGCTGCTGGCTACGCAGAGGTCTCCCCAACTGGGGCTAGCAGAAATCACTTCAGGGTGCTCACAGATTAAAGTTGCTTCCTTCTATTTTGTTTTCCAGGCAAAGCAAAAACCTGCCTGTCCAAAAAAGACATTTGCAGTTGACTGAAATGTGTCAGTAGATACAAACAAAACATTTGGCTGCATTTTTTTTTAACCAAACAAACAGATTTAGGCAAATCTTCCCTCAAAACACTACTTGGAGACAAAAAATCCAAACGTTGTGTATAAAAAATGTCAAAATAAAGCGTTTCAACTTTTTCCCCAGTAACCGTGGGTATCCTCATGTCTGGCGGGTGGGAGACAGCCCCATCACATTCCAGCAGGCTGTGTTCAATCACTGTTGATGGCATTTCATTTTTTTCCTAAAAAGTTGCCTTCCCCTCATTTTGCATTATTTAGATTAATAAGCAAGAAAAGCACCATACACCAGCCGAGACATTTACATTAATGGACCAATCAATATCCCCCTCACCCGGGTAGAAAAGAAAGGCTTGCGTTGCTTAGTGTTAACCAGCATTCCCTCCTCTGGTCAGACACCGATGGGGAACGCTGTGCGGGATCGCAGGAGACGGGCACACAGGACACAACAACGTGGGGACACAACAACATGGGGACACAACAACATGGGGACACAACAACATGGGGACACAACAACATGGGGACACAGCTCAGGGCCACGGTGCGGGGCGAAGATGCCTGAGCCCCACCAGTTGCTTCTGATACTGGGGCCAAGGTTTCCTGCCAGGCATGTCTGGGGCGGCAGCAGCTGGAAAGAAGCTGTAGGAGCCTAATCTTAGAGGCCCTGCAAAATTAAAATTATTAGACTGACAGTTTTCTAGGGCTGGGTCTGTAGCTTCCACTGTTTTCACAGTGGCTACCACATTATAAGTGACATCTCAGTTTGAGAAACTCTTAATGATGAGAATTATTAAATGATGCAAAACCCCTCTTAAGAGAGGTTTTTTTTACAGGACCTTTATACCCAGAATGGCAAGAGAATTAGAAAATGTGCTGCAAGGAATGTATCCGTAGGGAAATAGTGGGCCAGAGCCAGCGTGTGATGCCTCTCATCTCCCACCGCAGTGA